ACCTGTGAAACCATCATCACAATCAAGATAGTACACATATGCGTCATTCCCCCACTTTTTCTTATGCTGCCTGGTGATCCCTCTCTCTTCTCCTCTTTCATCGCCCCTTCCCCTGGCAACTACTGATCAGCTTTCTGTCACTATAGACTAGTTTGCATTTTCTATAAAGGGAATCATTGTAGTATATACTTCTTTCTTAAGGTAGCTTCACTCAGCATCATTTTGAGATTAAATCACGTTGTTGCATGTATCAGTTCATTCCTTTTTATTGACGAATGATAGTCTATTGTATGGATATCACAGTTTGTTTATTCATTCACCTGTTAATGGACATTTGGGTTGTTTCCTCTTTTTTGTTTTTTTTGGGGTTTTTTTTTCGTGAGGAAGATTGGCCCTGAGCTAACATCTGTGCCAGTCTTCCTCTGTTTTGTATGTGGGACACTGCTGCAGTGTAGCTTGATGAGCCATGTATGGGTCCGTGCCTGGGATCCAAATCTGCGAACCCTGGGCCACTGAAGAAGGGCCTGAACTTAACCACTACACCACTGGGCTGGCCCTGTCCCAGTTTTTGACTGTTACAAATAAAGTTGCTGTGAACATTTTTGTACAGGTTTTTGCGTGGACATATGCTTTTATTTCTCTTGGGTAAATATCTAGGACTGGAATGGCTCGGTCATATAGTAGTGTTTGTTTAGCTTTTTAAGAAACTGCCACACTGTTTTTCCAAAGTGGTCGTACCATTTTACATTCCCCCCAGCAACGTCTGAGGGTCCCAGTTGTTCCATATTCTCTGTAGTTGTATGCTTTTCAACATACAGAAAAGTAAGAAGAAAACAGAGACATAAAGACACCCATAATGTATCTCCCAGATTAGTCCTTTTGGCGTTTTCCTCCCCCAATTAATGCATGTACATGGTTACAAAATTCAAACATCGTAGTCGGGAATAGAATGAAAAGCAAAACCACTGCCCAGAGGCAACTATGTTAATTGTTTTCAGTCTTTTCTTCCAGAAAAACCTACAGAGGCGTAAACCAGCGTTTCTTTTATCTCTCTTCTTTCTCACCTAGTTTACACAGAAGGCATCAAAGTATACATGGTGTTCTGCAGGGTGGTTTTTTTACTTTACAATTTATTTTAGAAGTACTTCCATATCAGCTTATTCTGTTTAATGGCTGCATTACAAAACAGTCAGTTTTGCTGTAGGAAAACACGAATTTGTTCCATTGCAATTGATGTATTAGGGAACTATTTGGGTATAATGTAAATTTCACCTTTGCTTATGCCTGATTTCGTCGGCAAGAAATGGCTAGGTGAATGTAGAAAACTGCACCCAGCGAGCTGAGCCACGGAAGGAATGCACGAGCCGCACAGTCGTCTTCAGGGGTCTCAGTTTACCCTCAGTTTGCTGCTTTGTGGTGAGCTACACCCATCCGCAGCTGGTGTCACAACTTTCTGTTGATTTCGGATCACCCTCCTACCACTTCACAGTAACTCACAGGCTGTGACCTTTCAACGCCCACTTCCACAAGCAAACTTGAGGTCTTTTTCAAGTAGAGTGCCATATTTACTGTAGCATTGATGTATTTCTTAACCATTTAATGTGTAAAACTGTGCTACTGTTTTTATTAGATTTCCTTTTTTGTTTCACCAGTAAGATTTTTGAGTGTTGTGCCCCTAACCCTGTTTTTCCTATAAGCCTTGTGGTTTTTATTATTTACTTTTACACAGCATGGTGATTTTTAGGAATGCATATGTCACATTATAGCAGAACTGATTTATTCCGTAGTGTGAATGTACATAATTGTTTTATTTTTAAAAATTATGACATACATCATATATACTAGAGAATACATATGGTAAGGAAGTATGTTTTAAAGGAGAATAATAAAGCAACAAATACCCGCTTAGTTACTACCTAGCTTAAGAAATAGGAACTTCTAATACTTTTGAACCTCCTTGTATTCGCCTCACTGATCATTTATACTTTTTTGAATATCTGAAATACTTCACAATAAAATCAAATTTAAAAGTATTGGGGCTGGCCCAGTGGCGCAACAGTTAAGTGTGCACGTTCCACTTCGGCTACCCTGGGTTCGCTGCTTTGGATCCCGGGTGTGGACATGGCACTGCTTGTCAAGCCATGCTGTGGTAGGCGTCCCACACATAAAGTAGAGGAGGATGGGCACGGATGTTAGCTCAGGGCCAGTCTTCCTCAGTGAAAAGAGGAGGATTGGCAGCAGTTAGCTCAGGGCTGATCTTCCTCAAAAAAAAAAAAAGTATTATCACTCTGTTCCCCCCCCCGCCACCCACCCACCCCTACTGGTTTCCCTGATGTTGATTACCCGGCTGGCTGCCCTGCCCCCTGCAAGTTACAGTGTACATACACATGGCATGCACGCACATACTTCCGGAAGGATAATCTGTAAGTAGATTTCTGTTAAGGTTAATATATATTGGGTTTATCATCGTTATTTTTTGTTACAGCTTTGTTGAGATCTAATTCACATACCATAAAATTCACACTTTTAAAGTGTAACACTCAGTGTTTGGTTTTCTTTTTAGTATATTCACAATGTTGTACAACCATAACTATATCTAATTCCAGGAAGTTTCATCAATAGGTAGGTTTTTGTGAATATATAGATTTTTCTAGATTAGGCAGCGTTGATCTAAAGAGAAACCGTTTTCTAAACATGTCTTATGTTTTAAGGTGCTTGTTTCCTTTCTAGAATCTCAGCTCCAGATAGAAAAGCATGAGACTTATCCCCATAGGATTTGTTGTCAGTTTGAAAGCTCTAGTGAAAAATCCCTTTTTAGTGAAGTGTGCAGGATTTGGCTCAGTTTATATATTCTCTGACTGTGTCCAAGAGTTTGACACAGTCTTGATCTGGTCCAGTCCAGTTCCTTCCTTTCTTTTTTCAACCTGAATGTGTAGACAACTTGTTTTTTTCCCTTCTCTTGGAAGGAACTTTTATGGCTTCACAGCTGAAACTAAGGATTGTAATATGAGGCAGAACTATCATTTTAGACAATTCCAATGATCTTTGTCTGAAAGTGGCTCCAAGGAAGTCACTGGAAGGTTATATGGCCTCGCTTCTTTCTGTCAACTTGAGAAGAATTTTAGCTTCAATATTTCAAAATCCTTAAACATCCCATGTGGCTCACTCTGTCCAGAAAAAGTATGTTGAAGGGAAGGGTAGATCTTCCCTAGGCTCTCCAGGTGCGCCAATGGACAGAAACAGCGGCATGCGTAATATAAAATACTGTTTCATCCTGAACTCTTTTCGTATTGCTTTGCAAGATCAGAGACCGAGTGCTGGCCTGAATGGACCTTATATAGAAACTTGTATGATCTTAAGCTATTTTATTTATAATAGGAAAGTAGGTGTTTTTGACCTGGAAATATATAATACTTAAATAATGAAAAAAGTTTTTTGAACTCAGCTGTCTGGCTGTTCCATTTTGCTTAGCTCTTTACAGTGATATTGGGGATGGCACAGGTCAACTGAATGGCCCACATAGTTTGATGCTAATGACCGACCTTGGTCAGTTTCCCACCATTCTGGTCCAGTGTAAAGTTGTGATTATATTTACTTAAAATATCTATTTCTTATCCCAGATGAGTTGAAGAAACTGTGATAATGTTGGTCAACAAATGAGAGCATATTCAAATGGTTTTGTCTATAAGACCTGGCTTAGAATAATTAGGATAGAGTTTTTCTCAGTATCAACTCCAGTGAAAATCAGAGCAGAATCTTCTCTTCTCCCTTTTAGATTTTCCTTGATCTGAGTCTTTCCTATAAGTTACTTCAGATTACTTGTGTTGTGAAAAATAAGCGTAACTTTGGGGAGAAAATTAGCTGTATATATTTTCAGTTATCTCTATCAGTGGCAGATGTTAGTTCTATGAGTAATTTTCAAATAGAGGAAAAAATTTCAATTAACATTGAAATATGTATATTTTGATTCTTTTGCTAGGACTTCTATATGCCTTAATGGTTTTTCTCAGTATAATATTAAAATGGGTGTAGATTCTTAGAGTACACATTGAGCAGTCTGGGAACTGTGGATGTTGTTGGGGTAAAAGCTGATGCTATTTTTAATTTGCAAAACATGATTGATGAAATGGATCATTTCTATTTGGATGACTGAAAGTCGCTTGCATTAATATATTCCTAAAGGTCCAACTTTAGGCATGTGCAGTACACATCACCTTGCTTCTGGATCTCCTCAACACTTTATTACTGGCAGTAAAACCTTCTAGTTATGATGCACTGTTCTTTTAATACCCTGCTGGATTGGATTTGTATTTGTATTCACAAATGAAAACTGGTCCATTTTCTTCTGAGGATGCCTTTGACTCCATCTCCATAGGTCTAGATATATTCTGCCCTTACTGGTGTTAATTTTGAAATAGTGTGTTATTTTAATTTCCTCTGTGAGCCATAAGTTATTTAGAAGAGTATCTTATTTTCCATATCAGAGATTTTTTGTTAATAATTTCATATTTTTATTAGGATCGGAGAACATGGCTTATAACATTTCCACGTTTTGCAATAGTTGAAACTTTCTTCATATCCTATTATATAATTTAATATTAGTGAGTTTTTATAGATATTTCAAATGCATTGTTCTTTGTTGGGTTCAGAGTTATATGTATGTGTTAAATCTGGCTTTATCTATATCATCTGTAGTTTTATCTCATCTTCTTGATCTTTTAAATTTCTGAGAGATGTGTTCAAATTCTCCTGCTGTGGGATTTTCTTAAGTTCTCCTTGTATTCCTGATTTGTTTTGTGCATTTCGACACTGTGTCATTTGGTGTATAATTTATAACATATGTTTTTGATTGTGTCTTTAAATAGTAACATAATCTTTACTATGTTAGATGTTTTTTGCCTTAAATTATTGTCTGTTATTAATCTTGCCATCCCTGCTATCTTTTTGTTTGAATGTATCTGTGTATGTTAATTTTGCACATCCTTGTGTTTTGGACATTTAGCTATAGTGCCTTTGAAGATATAGCAGTGTTAACAAATAGATTTGTAGGTATTATGGAGAGAATGATGAAAGCTAGTGTAAGCTAGTAGTTATGTTCCCTGTGATTATTTATATTTTGGCATGTATTTCATTTATTTCTTGTTTTATTTCTTCAGCAAACAATTTATTGAGACCTCCCAGGAAATTTGGAGGGAGAAATGGAGAGAGCTGTGTTGGATAGTATGATCAGGGAAGGCCTTCTATGATAAGGTGGGCATTTGAGCTGGGTTCTGGGAAAGCTAACCTGGGGGAAGAGCATTCCAGGCAGAAGGAACCATCAGTCCAAAAACCCTAAGGAAAGGTTGAGGTGTATTTGAGGTACTGAAAAAAAACCATTTTGTCTGGATCTTAATGATTAAGGATGGAAAGGGAGGTGGGGTCCAATTCATTTAAGACCTTGTGGGTCATGTTAAGGAGTGTGATTTTATTCCAAGTGTTGTGAGAAGCCATTGGAAGATTTCAAGCAGGGATGATGTGATCAGATAAATATTTTTATAGTGCTTTTCTAAATTGAAGGATAATTTACAAACAGTGAAATACACAAATTTTAAGTGTACAGTTGGATGAGTTTTCACAATTGCATGTGCCCATGTAACCCACACCCTTGTTAAACTATAAAATATTTCTATCACCCCAGAAAGATCCTTCATTCCTCTTCCCAATCAGTCGCCACTACCAGAACCCTAACTACTGTTCTCATGTGTTTCACCAAAGATTAATTTGTCTGTTCTAGAACTTCATATAAATGGAATCGTTCAGTGTGTACTCTTTTGTGTCTGGCTTCTTTTACTTACTGTAATGATTTTGAGATTCACCCCTGTTGTTACTTAGATCAGGAGTTCATTGGGTATACCTCAATTTGTTTATCTGTTCTCCTCTTGGTTTTTGTAGACTTTTTAAAAATGTCTCTTTGTCTAAAACAGGGGAATGGATTGTAGATTCTCTCCAGATATTTAATAAAGGAAAACTGGTTGTTTTGTTTACAAAGGATAAGTTATTTTGTTTGAAGTGAAGCATATAAAAAGGACAGGGCCAAAGAATTATAAAATCATTTTAACATCTTAGGAACATCTGTCTGTATGGAAGCAGGTGGAAAAGGATGCACTGCTCCTCCCTGGCTACCCTTTTAAATCAGGTGGGGGCACTTGTCTTGAGTGAGAGCACAAAGTTCAGTGGTCCTAATGAATTCAAATGCCATGATGATCGTAGAATTTTATGTTGAGAAGATACCTCACATGGTACATGGCAGATTTTTCAAATATCATATATCAGATTTTACTCCTTCCCCCAAGAATTGATCACATCTTGTAAGATGTGCAGAGTTCTAGGATTAGGTTCTACGGGTTCTGTGTCTTCTGTGACATGAGAATTAATACCTTTTACTAAGAATTTCTAGTGACTGTATTACATAATTTTTGCGTTTTTCACTATGCAATTTCTTTTAAAAATATTTTTCTCTTGGGGTCTATTTCAAAGTATAGAACTTTAAAAGGTTTCGTTTTGTTTTTATCTTTAACCTTTGTCAAAAACTCACTTGTTTATATTATTTGAGTGGGTGTGATACAGGGTAGTTTTGCTTTCTTACATCATGCATGGGAAAAAGACCATGTATTTTCTGAATTTAAATTGACACATTTACTTTTTACAATGAGGTGGTTTCAATGAGAAAATTTTAAATTGGAGGAATCAGCATTGCATGTATTTCTGTATTTGGATTTGGTCCCATGGTAAGGAGAAAATCTCACAGACGTAAATTATAAACAGAAACAGATTTCTTAAACAGTTCACATGACCATCTCAGTATTCTTTTCAATTTCCTCTGATTCATATGCTTGAAAACCTAAAGAGGATTAGTGGGACATTTTGTTTCAGAATTGAATCTGACAGTGTCTAGCAACTGCTCACATTTCCTCTTCATAAATCTCAAGTCAGACAAGAAGAATCCAAAACTCAGTATTACCGTGGGTCCTTGGTTACACATTCCATCCGCTCACTTATTACATCATGATGAGAGCATGCCTCCGCAGATGTGCCTTGCCGTAGCTAGCATATACTTGAATGTGCCATGTGTATACAGACCTAAATCTTCCTAAACATGTTTATTGGAAGCTCAAGTCTATGCCCAAAGATGACAGGAAAGGCTTTATTACAGGGCTGCATGAAATATGAAATACCTTGGCAGTACATGTTAACTCATTGGTGGTTTCTTCCCCACCCACCCCACCCCCCTTCACCACCAAATTCTAGTCCCCTAGTTTGAGAGCAAAAGTCAAAAGAGAGTTTCGCTTCATCCTTTAAGTGAGGGTAAAATAAAATCCTATTTTCTTCAGGGGTCCCCAGCCTTTCTGGGGACGAGCCACTGTTATTCTTGAGATTACTTGGGGGTGGGAGGAGAATATGCAGATTATGAAGTCCATGGAATGGAGGAGTGAAAATGATGCTGGAGTCACTCATGTTACAGATAATCCCCTAAGACTCTTGGCAAATTGTAAAGACGGTGGTCACTGAGGAAAAGGGTGTGGTGCAGGAACACATTTGGAGGGCTGCTGGGATGTAGCTGCCTCTGAGTCTAGGTTTCTCTAAGGGTAGGAAGTGGGTTTTTTTGCTATCTGCATTAAGGAAAAAGGAATGAGGGTTATTGACTTTTAAGAATATATTGTTTATATAAGTGCCCAAGACTTTCACAGGTTGTCTAAAACTAGTTGCAGACCAAATGGAGAAGGCTAAAAGAATAAGACTTTCCTCACTTTTTTGTTTTGTTTTTGTGAGGAAGATTGGCCTTGAGCTAACATCTGCTGCCAATCTTCCTCTTTTTGCTTGAGGAAGATTGTCACTGAGCTAACATCTGTGCCAGTCTTCCTCTATTTTGTGTGTGGGACGCCAACAAGGCATGGCTTGATGAGTGGTGTGCAGGTCTGCACATGGGATCCGAACCAGTGAACCCTGGGCCGCTGAAGCAGAGCGCGCGAACTTAACCACTATGCAACCCGGCCAGCCCCCTACTCTCACTTTTTATACGCTTTAAAGACAGAAGATAACAGTTGAATTCAGCGCCTCTCCAAAAATAAAGACTCTTTTTTTGTTCTAAATTACAGCAGGTGTTAATGATTGTGAACAAACTTAAATGGTTTAATTCGAGATTTTTGTAATGCCAGGGGTTTTTAGAACATTTTTAAGCTTAGGAATATTACACAAGATAACAGTTACAGGAAAAGTGTTCTCTTTGATCCAGGATTTGCATCTATATCATTACGCAGTGAGTCTCTCCCAGCTGAGTCAAGTGAGTCTGTCTGAGATGGGTGAAAGAACTGGACCAAGAGCTGAGAGACTTTTAAATTATTTCACTTTTAACATTGAGTGAATAAAGACAAATATTTTTGAGTTGAGGTTTTCATTAATTTTATTTTAAAACTTTTTATTACCTCAATAGATATGTATTGTGTATTTTTGCCTTTGGTTAGGTAATCTCCGTTAGTGGTGGAGCAGAGGTTTGGAAATCAGGGAGCTCTTCTTGTCTTTTCTGTGTCGTAGATTAATGTGCTAAGGGGCAGCTTACCTAACCACCCTGGACCTTTTTTCTTATCTGTCAGTAGACCCTCGCTGCCCAGTGAGGGAACCACTAGCCACAGGTGGTGATTGAGCCTTTGAAACGTGGCTAGTCCAAATCGAGATGTACTCCAAGTGTGAAGTAGACACCAATTTTAAAGACTTAGGACAAAGATAAGAATGTAAAATGTCTTATTGCTAAATTGTTTATATTGATTACATTGTTGGAATAATAATATTTTACATACGTTAGTTAAATAAAATGTTATTAAAATTAACTTCACCCATTTCTTTTTCTAATGTGATAGAAAATTTTAAGATTTCTTTTGAACAGTGCTGGTCTGGACAGTATTTCCTAAACTGACTCATGAAAAATAAGTAAGTGCTCAATGAAACACAATTTGTGAGAAGGGTAGAGTCTAGTAGAACTTTTTGCAGTGATGTACATGTTCTGTATTTGCACTGTCCACTATAGTAGCTACTAGCCACTGATGGCTGTTGAGTACTTGAATTGTGGCTAGTTCTGAAATGTGAAAAATTGAAATGTGGAAAAAAGGAACTGAATTTTAAATTTTATTTAATTTTAATTAACTTTAAATAGCCACAAATGGCTAGTGGCTAATGTGTTGGGACAATGCAGATCTAGAGAATTTATGGGATTGTTTTATTCAAAGACTTTTATACCTAATACTTGTTTACCGTATTTCACTAGTTTAATATGAGTCTATACTGTTTGTGGTTTATTATTTTTTTTTAAAGAGTTTGTTTCCTTCTTCTTCCCAAAGCCCCCCGGTACATAGTTGTGTATTTTTAGTTGTGAGTCCTTCTAGTTGTGGCATGTGGGGTGCCCCCTCAGCATGGCCTCATGAGCTGTGCTAGGTCCATGCCCAGGATCTGAACCGGCAAAACCCTGGGCTGCCAAAGCAGAGTATGCAAACGTAACCACTCGGCCACAGGGCCAGCCCTGTTTATGTTTTTCCTGAGTAGTGTTAAATGATCAGTAACAATAATGTTTGTCGAGTACCTGTTATGTAGCAGACACTGTGTAAGTACCAGAGAGAATTTATATGATAAATTATTTATTGAGACCTAAGCTGTATTGCTGATATTTTGTAATATGCTTGGATGCATTATGAATTCCAAGGTACCGTGTGGGCTTACCGTGCTCTCATCGAAGTCTGGTTTCTTTCCTTTCCTTATGAGGGCCCTTCCATGAAAGCCTGGCTCCTTTTGAAAAGTCTGAACAATATGCGGCCTTGTTAAAGGATTTTCTCTTGAAAGGGAAATCTATGCCTTGTAACAGATGATGATTTTTTTCCCCCAGTAAACTTTGGTCATTAGTTATGCTTTTGGCTTTAAAAGGGATGTATGCATATTTACACGAGACTTACAAGTATCAGTATTATGTAATATTTATTCCCTTTGTGTGTACACATATGTTTATAAGTACTAGTTTCAAGCAGTGTTGTTAATGAATTTATTTATGATTGCTTCACAGTGAAGAACGAATGTCATCATGTCTGGAATCAAGCGAACAATCAAAGAAACTGACCCTGATTATGAGGATGTGTCTGTGGCCCTTCCGAATAAGCGGCATAAAGCAATTGAGAATTCAGGTAGAAATTCGCCTGCCTTAGGAAGTCATTTCTTTGTTGACGTATGCCTCCCTATGAGATTTATAGGAACTAAAATGAAATGCATTTCCATTGTTGTGCATAATTTGAAGAGATTTGTGAGAGGGATTAATTAAGTGTTCTGTTTAAGTAAGACACTATGTGCAGCATAAAAGGCAGGACACAATCAGGTAGACAGTGAAAGCATTAACAATGAGACAGGATGTAAGTTTAGCTATCATTGTAGGTTAGATATGATCATAAAGTCTTATGTATACTACCGTGTGGTATCATGTGAGATGATTACAGGTGGTACATGGATTAAGGTTTTTTACTTTAGTAGTTATGTGTTATTTTAGTGTCTATGAAAAAGATGATGGTCTTATCAGACTAACAGTTTCATGACTACTGTTGCTTAGGATGAGGCTAAAATTATTTTTAAGTATTATTTAATTGTGTTAATTAGATGTTTTTCATGGTACTCAGATGTTGTAGGTATCTTGAAGGTGGTATATGAATGATGGAAATTTGGGAAACATTAATGTAGTTTAACTCCTGCTTGTGGTTAAGTTAAGGCTCAAAGGCCCAAGATCATATAATTAGCAAATCATCAACTATGTCTTGTAGTTACGCATAATGTTTTAAGCTATCTCAAAAAAAGTTGCTAAATTTGAGTTTTTAAAAGACATTGCTGAAATTTATTACTGTTTTTTTAAATAATAAATTTACCTAAGTTAATATGTATAGCTGGGTAAAGAAGTCATCATAATCATGGATAAGGTATTACAGCTCCTCAAAGATTAGGACCCCTGGAATTTAAGTGGTGAGGAAAATTCCTGACTGTAAGTGGAATCAAGTCATATGTACCCCTAAAAGTGTTTGTGGACAGAGAATTATCAAATCCAATTCCAAATAATGAAAGCGTTTAACTACAGCTTTTCCCCTCCATTCAGTTGTAATTTTATTCACAAGGAAATGTTTCACTAATAAGCCAAATAAATGTGAAAGTATCCTGAAACTTAAATCCATTATTCAAATGTATCACATGACATAACTTTTCTTTTAAAATAAAAATAAGAATAGAGAAAACTGATTATTTTAGTAAACATGGTAATTTCAGTTTAAATCTAGTATCAGTTCCCAAATACTCAGTGTAAGAAGGGATAGTTTTTGTTACTAAATGACAGTTTGCTCTTCTTCCTTTTGGTGTCCATACTCTACTTAATCCCAAACTGTATTTTTATTTTTCAGAACTTTTCTCAATGTAGATTTGGTGGGATGCTTTCCTTTGCTTATGTTGTTTTATTTTGTTTGTTGTTTTGTTTTTGTTTTTACTTATTGCATGAAAGAGATAATTTAGAAGTGTTTCTTTCTGAGGAGGTTATTATAAATAGCCTTTAGTGATCACAGTTTCTGGCTTTCAGCCTCCTGTAAGAGTGTCTGCTGATTTCTGTTACAAGGTTTATATATGCAAGGATAAATACAATAATATTAGAAAATATTCTTTTCCTCAAATATGAGAGAAATCAGTCATTTGCCTTTGTGCACACATATCCACAAGAATGCTTATATTATTACTAGTTTTAAATTGCCAATCTAACGGCATATTTTATGGGGAGAAAATGGCATGGGTGATCAAAGGGTCCATTTTTTTGTGCAGCTTTTCATATACTCCGAAGTATGCATGGCGATTTTTTCATATTACAAACACAGAATCATTTTGCAAAATCCCAGGTTTTTCAAGCAGTCACTCAGCTCTTTTTTTTATTCTCTTGTATCAAGCTACATTTCATATTCCGCTGTTTTTACTCTTTGACTTGCATGTTACTTTGAGTAGTCGTCATCTCAGTTTTATTATCTTCAGAGGCATTTTCTTTCCTTATGAATTCTTTCTTTGCTCATTCCTTCGAGTGGTTGTGATCAGAAACTACTGAATTGCTTGCTAGATCCTTCTCTACAGAATGAAACTTCTGCCTTGTTATGAACTGCTCTAGTGTCACAGACTACCTCTCCCTTTAGCTAGCTCTCTACTTTCTTTCTCCTTGGGGCTGTTGTTTTTCAAAGATCACCAAATATTTCTCTCAGAACTTTCACGAGTGTTTTTTCTTTTTTGGTAATTTTATTTTGATAAAATTTCAAACAGAGAAATTGCAAGGAGTACCCATATGTCTTTTATCCAGATTAATTCACCAGTTGTTTGCATTTTGCATCATTTAGTTTATCATTCTTCTCCCCCACCCCCAAACACACACCTACACACACACAACATAGACAAATGTGTGTATGTATACAGATATATATGCACGTCATTCTTTCTAAATCATCAGAAAATAAATTGGACACCTGTGAACACTTTTGTATATGTCTTAAGGACATTCTCTTATGCAACCATATATCAAAACCAGGAAATGTTAACATTTATACATTACATTATCGAATCTGTGGTCCATATTCAGGTTTTACTGTTGTCCCAGTGTTGTATTTTATAACTATTTTCCCCTCTCCAGGATCCAGTCCAAGATCACCGAGTGCATTTAGTTGTCATATCTCTTTAGTCTCTTTTGATTTCCTCAACTTTTTTTGTCGTTCTTGACTTTAATATTTGAAAAGTATAAGCCAGTTCTTTTGTAGAATGTCCTTTGATTTAGGTTTGCCTGATGTTCCCCATGGTTAAATTCAGCATTTTTGGCAGGAATGCCACAGAGCAATGTAGTCTTCTCTTGCATCATGTCAGAGAACACATGAGGTCAATTTGCCCCAGTATTAGTGGTGCTGACTTTTCATCATTGTGGTTAAAGTGATGGCCACTAGGTTTCTCCTCTTCAGAGTTACTGTTTGCTGGGTGTCTTTTCTTGCTTGCTGACTTAAATCAAGACAGCTGCTGATTAATTAAACCTTGGATTATTTTATGTTCTTTGTGCAGCTCGAGATGCTGCTGTGCAGAAGATCGAGACTATTATCAAGGAACAATTTGCACTTGAAATGAAGAATAAGGAACATGAAATTGAAGTCATTGACCAGGTATAATGATGATAAATTTCTAAAAGACCCAAAGCTATTGAAAAAAATCTATACATGATGTATTGAAGAAATCTACTGAGATAGAATCATGGTTGGTTTTTCCCCTTTGCTTGTCATTTTTTTTTTTTTTGCAGGGAAAGATTCACCCTGAGTTAACATCTGTTGCCAATCTTCCCTTTTTTTTTCCTCCCCAAAGCCCCAGTGCATGGTTGTGTATAAGTCCCTCCAGTTCTTCCATGTGAGCTGCTGCCACAGCATGGGAACTGACAGATAGGTGGTGTGGTTCCGTGACCTGGAAACGAACCTGGGCCACTGAAGCGGATTACTTGTCTTTTAAAAAGTTTTCTCGTTTTTGGAAAAAAGACATGTACTTTTTGTGTCTTTATATGAAATTGAAGAAAAGGATAAAAACAAATACCATCCTGAAAGATAATTCCTCTTTGCTCTTGTGCTCATATCTTTGTGGCTATTTCTCAACAAATATGCATATAGACACAGAAATATACATATTAATATGTCTATGAACTCTTGAAAACATTGGTTTTTGTCATTCTTTTAAGTCTTTTGCCAATCTGATAGGTGGAAAATGGTCATTTTTATTTGTCTGTCTTTGGTTATTAGACAAGTTGAACTTTTTTTGGTCATTTGCATTTCTTTTTTTATGAATTGTTGGTGTATCTTTTCTGTCATTTCCATTTTTTAAAGTAATGAGTTAATACTTGTTTTTAGCGACTGATTGAGGCAAGAAGGATGATGGATAAACTTCGTGCCTGCATTGTCGCAAACTACTATGCTTCTGCAGGACTTCTAAAAGTTTCTGAGGTAAGTTTCCCTCATGCAGTCATTTCTGGCCACTCATATTTGTTGTATGAAGGGGACCTGGGGGTTGAGATGGAATCCCTGCCTTTGAAACATTTCTCCTGTTGACCTTTAGAATGCAAGAAGCCTAGCCTGCCGTCCTGGGGAAGCACACAGACTTTATGCTGTGTTCAGCCATCATCCTTTAATCATACCTCTCTGTCAGTAATCTTAAGTAATGTTTTTTCTTTTTGCTTAATCCCTCTTCTACTAATTGTTAGCACTGTTGCTGTGGTTTGCAGGTAAAAGGTGACTGAGACCCTGTTCTAACTTCTCATATTCCTCTTCATTTGATTATGGTTAACTTTGGAGTATGTTATAGATCGATTGATTTTCCTCTGATCTTTTACTGCTAATGAACAGCAATTTCTGTTTTCAGTAGATGTACCCTATTTAAGAAGCCCTGATTTTTTTCCCCGTATTTCTTGTGAAAAATTTCAAAGCTACGGAAAAGTTGAAACAAGTACCTGTTTATGCATCATCATCAGTTTCAACAATTTTAATGTTTTGCCTTATTTGGTTTTATCTTATTTTTCTCTAAAACATTTGAAAATAAGTTCCAGGTATCATGACACCTTACTCTTAAACACTTTAATCACATATTTCCTAAAGGACATTCTTCTATGTCATCACAACACCTAAGAGAATGATTTCCTAATGTTATATGGTAACCAGTCCATATTCACATTTATCCACTTGTTCCCAAAATATCTTTTAAAGCTTTTTTTTTTTTAAAGATTTTATTTTTCCCTTTTCTCCCCAAAGCTCCCCGGTACATAGTTGTGTATTTTTAGTTGTGGGTTCTTCTAGTTGTGGCATGTGGGATGCCGCCTCAGCATGGCCTGATGAGCGGTGCCATGTCTGCGCCCAGGATCCCAACTGGTGAAACCCTGGGCCGTTGAAGTGGAGCACACGAACTTAACCCCTCGGCCATGGGGCCGGCCCCCATTTATAGCTTTTTAAAAAACTTTTATTATTGAAATTCATCAGCTTTGTTGCTTTGACTCTGAAACACTAGTCTCTGGTTCCTTTTTCCTCACTAAAACAATTATTTTAACAGCACAATTTTTAAAAACTGGGCTTCTTAGCAACATAAGTACAGTGTATCGCATCATAACAGAACACACTGTATTTTGTATGTAAGTAACAAGATACAGAAAAATGCCCTAGGCTTCAGGGCTGGACTGAGGACAGACTTTATATATTGGTATTAATCATTTTAAAGCTTTCCTTACTATATTTTACTCCTATGTTGAGGCTATTTTACATATACTTTCTTTAATCTTTATATGTCTTTCAATGGAATGTTTTATTTAGAGCAGTTGATATGTTTGTGTAAAGGAAAGTGAGACTTATTTTTTTAAAGTTACATCTTATTTTCTGTGTATTACTATATGTTTATTTTTCATTTACCTTCAGAGGACTTTACATCTTTAGCTTTTAGTGTTAGGACCTTTGCATAATTATTTATCACTCTCTAGTTTTTGTTTTGTTGGTCAGACCATCTTAAGGCGTTTGGACTTTATTTTCTGGGTGTGGGGGAATTTTGAAGGATTTTAAGCATGATCCCAAAATAGATAAGGGTTTTGGAAAGATCAAAATTTTGCCTACTTTTGGTGGATTTGACTAAAAGTTTGTTTTGCTTGCTTTCATTCTTACAGGGATCAAAGACATGTGATACAATGGTTTTTAATCATCCTGCTATCAAGAAGTTTTTGGAATCACCATCTAGGTCATCATCTCCTGCCAATCAGGGATCAGAAACACCATCAGCCAATCATTCAGAAAGTGATTCTTTATCTCAACACAATGACTTCTTATCTGATAAAGACAATAACAGCAATATGGATATAGAGGAAAGACTCTCAAACAATATGGAGCAGAGACCAATCCGAAATACTGGAAGGGTATAGTTGCATGGGTGGGAGGGAGCCAAAGGAAGAGGGAGCCAGTATTTATTAAGTATGCACGTATTATCTCATTTAAGTTAATTATTTCCCTTTTAGAGATGGGGAAACAGAGTCTCAATGAGGTTAAAGTTGTATTTGTTCAGAAATATCAGAACTGGAAAACTTAGGTCTTTCTGATGTTAGAGTTCAGTGCTCCTGTGTGTGGCTCAGTTCCTGCATGCTGTTATGTAGATATGAAAGAAACCTTCAGGATTCAAGGTCAATGCTGTGACCTTGCCCAAGGTCCTTCTACTCTATCATGTTTATTCTCTCAAGAGCAATGGCTCTTCAGAAGTTTCTCTGTGAAGCTTTATATTCTAGAAGCTTTGATAAATGGAGGAAATTTGACAAATAATAAATAGAACTGAAAACCATTTATTGCTCTTTGAACCTGCCAGTTTGTCATTCAAGTTCCCATCTCAAGCTGTTCTGAACTTCTTGGTATCGTGTTTGGCTGTAGAGTCCTTATTGGATGAGACCAATGATTTTTCTCAGCCATGTGTTCTCAAATAGAGAAACTTTCCAGGATGCTTTCCGCGTATTCATACATCAAGGATTTGATTCATTTTTGATAAAAATAAATTTAAAATCTTTTTTCTGATTATTAATTCATATGTGTTCATTGTTGAAAATTGTAAAATACAGAAAAGTGAAAAAAATTAGAAAAATCATTCATAATGCCACCACCCGAAAATCAGAATTCTTAATGTTTGGAGTTACTTGACTCTTTCCAGTATTATTTCTGGGCAAGTACTGCATGTTTTTCTTTTTCTAATTAAAAAGAATTTAGGTCATACTGGTCAAAGGATTTAGAAACTTACCATCTTTTATATAATATACATGCTCATGTTTATGTAATAAATATTTAGTATTTCCTATATACCAGGCACTTTTCTAAGAACTATACAAAACATTCGTGTGAGACAGGTACTATTATCATCCTTATTTTATAGATGAGAAAATTGAGACAAAGAAGTTAAGTAATAACCCAAGGTTGGGGCTGGCCCGGTGGCGCAGTGGTTAAGTGCGCATGTTCTGCTTGTGCGGCCTGGGGTTTACCGGTTCGGATCCCAGCACTGCTTGGCACGCCACACTGTGGTAGGCGTCCTCCATATAAAGTAGAGGAAGATGGGCATGGATGTTAGCTCAGGGCCAGTCTTCCTCAGCGAAAAGAGGAGGATTGGCAGCAGTTAGCTCAGGGCTAATCTTCCTCAAAAAAATAAAAAAACAATCCAAGGTTACACATCTAGTAAATGGAAAAGTCAGGATTTAATCCCTGGCCGTCTGTTTCCATGGTCAAACTGTTAGTTAACCATTATATTACTTCTCACTGAAGATTTTTGATGGTACAGAAGGTTGAAAAGAAAATTCCATTGACCCTTCCATATTCCCATTTCTTAGAGGTAACTTATAATAGTTTCCACATCTTATTTGTATATACAAAGCAAATGTGTATGACTGTTAAAAAAAGCACGTGGAATTATAGTGTATAAACTTTATATAAACTGATGCAAAAATCACAGTAAAAGTATTCTTTCATGCTCAGAGATGCCACAAAGAAAGAAAATTTTGTAATAATAAAAAATTCTGTTATTCTATTCTTACCTTGTATGATTTTATGGTTTCTGCCTATTAAAAATTGTCCAAATTGAAAATGAAAATTGATTATGATGTTTTTCAGGACACTTCTGTTATTACTGGCTCCCATAAAACAGAGCAGCGGAATGCTGATCTCACAGGAGATGAGACTTCACGACTTTTTGTAAAGAAAACAATAGTAGTGGGCAATGTGTCCAAGTGAGTATCAAGCTGAATTGTCTCATTATTGGTCATACATTTATGTTATTACTCTGGCATACTCTTATCATAGTATTATGGTAGGAAGAGGCCGCAGGGATTCTTTGTCCCAGACTCTTCATTGTTTCAAAAGTAAACCAAGGTCCAGAGACTTGAGACTCTGTCTCAGTGTATCTGCTAATCTTTGACAGAGTAAAATTATGCTTGGTAAAAATTTCTAAGACATGAGCTTTTATACAAATGGTATATTTCATCGAGCATTAAGTATGGATAAGTTTGGAGAAACTTGACTTCTCCTGACCTAGTTCTGTCCTTAGGTGCCTTAGCTAATCCCTAAAAATGTTTATTTAATTGCCCAGACCGGAATGTTCTTAATATATAACAAGACTTACAGAGCAAGTCTTGAAGGTAGAATTCCTCTAAGCTAAAAGGCTGTCCTCTCATGCTGTCTTGTGGGAGTGTCATCATTTTTGCCACGTGTCTAGGAATGGATAAAGACATCATAAATCTTCAAATAGCATAAGAATGTTATTTCCTCATGAAGTCTCGTCTGCCTTTCTCTTCCCTTATAAGATATATTTCCTCTAAACTCTCAGGTCATATTTATCATATTATATGGTCATTTCCTATTTTCATATATTTTTCTCAAATTAGACTGGCATCTTTTAAGGATAGGAAGTATGTTTTGTTTGTTTTTTTACCTTACAGTACTTTGTGTTTGGTAAATATTTAATTGGTGAATAAATTGATGTATTTATGAAAATTGTGATTACACATAATTATTGAAAATAAATTTGGATTTGGGATTGTAATAATTGACTGAGGGGAAAAAGTCACACGGGGGAGAAAAAACTTCCAAGCCTCATTTAATGGACCACTAATGATAAAAAAAGAAGTACATTAAAAATCTCAGGATAACAAGAACAGAGATTCTTAATTGTCTGTGTAACGGTATTAAATAACATAAAATATGATTAAGGCAATTAATTTCTGTCTTATAGATTATTTTAGAGTTAGCATGCATTCAGCTAATAGTCCATGTGAAGTGTTAGAGTTGAGGTCTTAAGTGTAGTACAAAACAGGTCAGCCCAGAAAAGCCCGAAATTGGAAATCCTGGTAGACTCACCAGGCCATGAGAAGATTGGGGAGAAACATCATTGATGTTTTCAAACCATTATGTCTAATTCTTAGTTTTTTAGTTCTTTTAAAGGCCAGCTAGATAAAATACTGGTTAACTGTGGATTTTAAGCAGAGAGGGAGTGATTGGCGTTAGTGTTGTGAAGTCCTTGTTTCTTCTGGGAGAGGGTAAAATATTGATTTACTTGAGACTTTGTTAAGAATACTCAGAATAGCTAAGATAACAACTAAAAGTATACATAAGAGATTTAAACTTTAAAACTAGTAAGGGAGGGTGGGGAATTAAATAAATGAAAGAAAAACAAAACCCCTGATTCCAAAAGAAGGCAGGCAGGGATAAGAGGAAGGATGTGGAGAAGAAGAGAAAAAACAAGACAAATAGTATAAAATAATTTAGTAACAACGAATCTAAATCTAATCAGTCGTAAAAAAGGTATATGGATTTAACTATCAAGTTAAAAGATAAAAAATGTTAGATAAAATAACCTAAAATTCACCTCTCCGTTGTTTATCTGTGACACATCTAAATAGAGGAAGATTGAAGGTAGACAGAGTAAAAAGGTAGAACTGTCCAGTACTAACCAAAAGAAAACCAGTGTAGCATATTAAGATGAGGCAAAATAGACTTTAGGACCAAAAGCATTCATAGAGGTAAAGACAGATATATAATGATAAAAGTTCTGTTCACCAAGAAGATAGAAAAGTTCTAAACTTCTATGCATTTCACAGCATAGTCTTAAAATTCTAAACCAAAATTGATAGAACCACAAGGAGAAATTCCCAAATGCACTACCATACTGAGATTTTATATACCTCTCAGTAACTTGTTAGATCAAGCAAAATACCTGTATGAATATAAGAGATTAGAGAATCAGCAAAGCTTGATCTAATGTACACATATAGAACACTACACAATTGAAAAAGAAACATTTTTAAGCATACAGGGGACATTTATGAAAATGGGCTGCACAGTAAGCCATAAAGCAAGTTTCAACAAGTATCAAAGGACTTGTGTCATACAGACTGTTTTCTTCTGACCACAGTGCAGTAAAGTTAAAAATGAATGACAATAGGATAACTAGAAAACCTCTGCATGTCTGGAAATTCAAAGCACTTCCAACCTATTCATAAGTCAAGGAAAAAGCACATTGAAATATTCAGAATTAAATAATAACTTGTAGGATAACACTAAAGGGAAATTCATAGTCTTAAATGACTGCAATAGAAGAAAGGCTTGAAATTAATGAATTAAGCATCTCACTTAATTAGTGCAGTGGAGAAAGCAAAGAAAATAAGAGGAATAAATAATAAACATATACAAACCTGGTGAAATTAATTAAGGAAAAAAGGACAAATTTTAGAAATGAAAAAAACATTGCTGATGCTGCACTATTAGAGAAGAAACTATGAACATCTTTATGCCAGTACATTTGAAAATTTAGATGAAATTGAGAATCCTTAGAAAAATACAGCTTAATCAAAATGACTCAAGAAAGAGAAAACCTTGAATAGTCTTAGAACTACTAAGTTTAGTTATTTATTTTAAAACATTCCCGTCACCAAACCAAAGCAGACCACTAGGTCTAGATTGCTTTACAGCAATCTGATAATTCCAGTTCTATATAAAATCTGGAGAAAAAGAGCTAACACTTGTCAAGATATATTATGAGGGTAGCCTAACTTTGTTAATCAAGCCAGACAGTGAGTTTATAAGAAAAAGAAAATTAACACAACATTTACACTCATGAATATAGATGCAAAAATACTGAACGAAATCATTAGCAAGCTGAATTCAGTAATTGTAGAAATGAAAACACTTGATGACTAAGAAAAGTGAGTTTGGATTCACATTAGAAAATTAATAAATAAAATTAACCATATTAACAGATTAAAGGAAATAAATATTATCACCTCCAGATGCAGAAATATTTAACAAGACTCAACGTCTGTTTGTGAAAAATCCTCATGGCAAACTGGGAATTTAGTTAACTCTCATAAAGAATATCTTTAAAAAAGCTACAGCGTAATCGTACTCAATGGTAAACTATTAAAAGCGTTCTTTTTAGGGTCAGGAGGAAGACAAGAGATGCCTGATATCACTGCTTGGGTTCAGTATTGTACTTGGAGATACTAATGTAGTCAAAAGAGAAAAAAGTGTAGGGATTAGAAAAGAAGAAATAAAATATCATTGTCAACAGATGATGTGATTGTTTACACAACAATTTTTGATACAGTTTTAGAATAAGAGCTTAGCAAGATTATTGAATACAGTATGAATACACAGAAGTCAGTTGTTTCTGTATGACAGCCACAAACTTAGAAAACATTTTTTTGAAGATATTTACTTTAGCAATAAGAAACATAATAAATCAAGCAAAAGACATGCTGACCTTTCATGAAGATTTATAAAAACTTTATTGAAAGACTGGTAAAAGAACTAAACAGAGCAGTGTACCATGTTCATGGACAGGAAGGCTCAGTATTGTAAAGATCTCTCTTCTCAAATTGATGTGTAGATATTCTGATTAAAATCCCAACAGGGTTTGTGAAATTCACAGGCTGGTTCTTATCTATGAAGAGCAAAGGGTCAAGACTGGACAAGAACACTCTGAAGAACTAGGTTAGACACCTTAGCCTTGTGCATTACCCAGGATAACCTCAGGCAGAAATGAACGTGTAGAAGGCCATGACCATATTTTCCAACAGAATTTAGCAAGGGAGGCTCATGAAATAAAGACGGAACCTGCAAAAGAGAGGGCTAACGATGCTGGTTTTACCGTGGTCAGGACAGAAGGGAACGGCTTGTTTGGGGTTTTAGAAGACGAGACCAATTGCAACATTCTTGGCAGCAATAAATGGGAACCAGAAGTGTCCAAAGTTCTCTTACCATGAAACCTGAATGAATGAAGTCAACCTGAAGGCCTGAGATTCCCTAACCCAGGAGTAAAATATGGCAGTTTATTTCCACCTCATGTACTCCGTTGGCAGGAAAAGCAAGGTTGATTTTTTTTTAATTACATAGTGATAATCAGAAAACAAAACAAACCTTTAGGAAGTGTTCCTTAGACCAAAAAGATGTTTAAAAAAGAGATTAACTGGAAACACTAGGTTTGGTTTGGTGATGTAGCTGTTAAATACTGCTGGAATTTTTTTAAGATTTTACTTTTTTCTTTTTCTCCCCAAAGTCCCCCGGTACGTAGTTGTGTATTTTTAGTTGTGGGTCCTTCTAGTTGTGGCATGTGGCATGCCGCCTCAGCATGGCTTGATGAGCAGTGAGGTGTCCGCGCCCAGGATCCGAACCAGTGAAACCCTGGGCTGCCGAAGTGGAGCGCACAAACTTAACCACTTGGCCAAGGGGCTGGCCTCTGGAATTTTTTCTTTAATTTTAAAATTCCTTTTCAGATTTATTGATATAATTGACAAATAAAATTGTGAGATATTTAAGGTGGACATTGTGATGATTTATGTATACATTGTGAAAGGATTCCTCCCCCTAGTTAATTAGCACATCCATCATCACCTCACATATTTATCTTTTTGGGGGAGGTGGGGGTGAGAACATTTACAATCTACTCTCTTAGCCACTTTCTTTTATACAATACAGTGTCGACTGTAGTTACCACATTACGCATTAGATCCTCAGACCTTATTCATCGTATAGCTGAAAGTTTGTAACCTTTTACCAAGCTATTTCCCCCACCCCCCAGCCCTGGGAAACCATTTTTCTACCTCTGTTTCTGTGAGTTTGACTCTTAAATTCCACATATAAGTGATACCAGGTGGTATTTGTCTTTCTCTGTTTGGCTTATTTCACTTAGCATAATGCCCTGAAGTTCCATCCATATTATCGTAATGGCAAGATTTCTTCCTTCTCATTGCTGAATAAAAGTCCATTGTATAGCTATATCACATCTTCTTTGTCCATTCATCCATTGACGAGCACCTGGGTTTCCATATCTTAGCTATTGAAAATAATGCTGGAGTGAACATGGGAGTGCAGATGTCTCTTAGATTGCTGTTTTCATTTTCTTTGCATATATACACAGAAATGGGATAGTTCTATTTTTAATTTTTTGAAGAACCTCCCTGATGACTGCAACCAATTTACATTCCCGCCAACGGCACAGTGGTTCCGTTTTCTCCACATCCTCGCCAAGGCATCATCTCTTATCTTTTGGATGATAGCCATTCTAACAGGTGTGAGGTGATATCTCATCGTGGTTTTGATTTGTATTTCTCTGATGACTAATGATGTTGGGCATCTTTTCATGTACCTGTTGGCCATTTGTATGTCATCTTTGGAAAAATGCCTGTTCAGTTCCTCTCCCCATTTTAAGGTTGGATTATTTGTTTTTCTGCTGTTAAATTGTGTGTTATTTATATATTTAGGTTATTAACCCCTTATCGGATATGTGATTTACAAATATTTTTTCCCATTTAATAAGTTGCCTTTTCATTTTGTTGATGGTTTCCTGTGCAGAAATCTTTTTCGTTTGATGTAGTCCCACTGGTTTATTTTTGCTTTTGTTGCCTTTGTTTTTAGTGTCAGATCCAAAAAGTAATTGCCCAGATCCATGTCAAGGAGCTTACCTCCTATGTTTTCTTCTAGGAGTTTTATGGTTTCACGTCGTAAATTCAAGTCTTTAATCCATTTTGATTTGATTTTTGTGTATGGTGTAGATAGGGATCCAGTTTCATTCTTTTGCATATGTCCAGTTTTCCCAATACCATTTATTTATTTTTATTATTATTATTGTTATTTTAAAGATTTTATTTTTCCTTTTTCTCCCCAAAGCCCCTGGTGTATAGTTGTATATTTTAGTTGTGGGTCCTTCTAGTTGTGGCATGTGGGATGCCACCTCAGCATGGCTTGATGAGTGGTGCCATGTCCGCACCCAGGATGCAAACCAGCAAAACCCTGGGCTGCCGAAGCAGAGCGCTCGAACTTAACCACTCGGCCACGGGCCAGTCCCCCCGAATATAATTTATTGAAGAGACTGTCCTTTCCCCATTGTATATTCTTAGCTCCTTTTTCATAAATTAGTCAATTATATATGCCTGAGTTTATTTCTGGGCTCTCTTTTCTGTTCCATTGATCTATGTGTCTGTTTTTATGCCTATTCCATACTTTTGTTTTACTATCAATTTGTTATATAATTTGAAATCAGGAAATTTGAAAGCCTCCAGCTTTGTTCTTCCTTCTCAAGATTGCTTTGGCTATTCAGGGTCTGTTATGGTTCCATACAAATTTTAGGATTTTTTTTCTGTTTTTGTGAAAAAATGCCTTTGGAATTTTAATAGGAATTGTGCTGACTCAACAGATGGTTTTAGGTAGTATGGACATTTTAACTCCTAATTCTCCCAATCCATGAGCACAGAATATCTTTCCATTTATTTGTATCTTCTTCAGTTTTATTTATCAGTGTCTCATAGCTTTCAGCGTCTCATAGTTTTCAGTGTACGGAACTTTCACCTCCTTGGTTAAATTTGTTGCTAAGTATTTTATTGTTTTTGATGCTATTCTAAATGGGATTATTTTCTTAATTTCGCTTTCTGATAGTTCATTGTTAGTGTATAGAAACACTATACACTATACACTGATGTTTGTATATTGATTTTATGTTCTGCAACTTTACTGAATTTGTTTATTAGATCTAACAGTCTTTGGGCAGAGTCTTTAGGGTTTTCTATATATAATATGTCATTTGCAAGTAGAGACAGTTGTACTTCTTCCTTCTTCCTGCTTCCTTTGTGATTTGGATGCCCTTTATTTCTTTTTCTTGCTTAATTGCTCTGGTTGGGACTATGTACTGTGTTGAATAGAAGTGGCAAGAGTGGACATCCTTGTCTTGTTCCTGATCTTAAAGGAAAAGTTTTCAGCGTTTAACTGTTGAGTATGATGTTAGCTGTGGGCTTGTCATATATAACCTTCATTATGTTGAGGTGTGCTCCCTCTATACCCAATTTGTTGAGAGTTTTTATCATAAAGAGATAATGAATTTTGTCAAATGCATTTTCTGCATCTGTTGAGATGATCATTTGATTTTTGTCCTTCATTTTGTTAATGTGACATATCATATTCATATCGATTGATTTGTGGATATTGAACCATCTTTGCATCCCTGGAACAAATCCCCCTTGATCTTGGTGTATCATCCTTTTAATGTATTGTTGAATTTGGTGTATAAATATTTTGCTGAGGATTTTTGCATCTATGTTCATCAGGGATATTGGCTTAGAATTTTCTTTTCTTGTGGTGTCCTCATCTGGCTTTGGTATCAGGGTAATGCTGGCTTAGTAAAATGAGTTTGGAAGTGTTCCCTCTTCTGTTTTTTTGGAAGAGTTTGACAAGGGTTAGTATGAATTCTTCTTTGAATGTTTGGTAGGATTTACCTGTGTAGCCATCTGGTCCTGGAGTTTCCTTTGTTGGGAGTTTTTGATTACTAATTCAGTCTCCTCACTAGTAATTGTTCAGTTCAGATTTTCTGTTTCGTCATGATTCAGTCTTAGAAGTGTGTATATTTCTAGGAATTGGTCAATTTCTTCTGGGTTGTCCAATTTGTTGGCATATAATTATTCATAGTAATTTCTTATTTATGTGGTATCAGTTGTTAATGTCTCCTCTTTCATTTGTAATTTAATTTATTTGAGTCCTCTCTCTTTTTTTCCTGGTAGGTCTGACTAAAGATTTGTCTTTTTTGTTTATCTTTTCAGAAGACCAGCTCTTAGTTTCATTGATCTTTTCTGTTGTCTTTTTAGTCTCTATTTCATTTATTTCTGCTCTGGTCTTTGTTATTTCCTTCCTTCTAACTTTGGGCTTAGTTTGTTCTTTTTCTAGTTCTTTGAGGTGTGAAATTAGGTTGAGACGTTTTTTCTTAATGTAGGCATTTATCACTTAAACTTCCCTCTTTGAACTTTTGCTTTTGCTGCATCCTTTAGGTTTTGGTATGGTATATTTCCATTTTCATTTGTCTTAGGATATTTTTTTATTTCTCTTTTGATTTCTTTGACCCATTGGTTGTTCAGTAGTATGTTGTTTAATCTCCATATGTTTGTGAATTTTCTGATTTTCTTCTCATAATTGATTTTTCATCTTGTGTTAAGTAGGAGTTGCTTTGTTAGGTTTTTGAAGGAAAAAGAATTCAAGTTTTTTTTTTTCTCTTCTAGATATATACCTCCTGATAAGAGAGAAGAAAATGACCAATCAACCCACAAGTGGATGGTATATGTCCGAGGTTCTCGTAGAGAACCCAGCATTAATCATTTTGTCAAGAAAGTTTGGTTCTTCCTTCATCCCAGCTATAAACCAAATGACCTTGTGGAAGTTAGGTAAGCACACTGGAGTGAGTTAACCTAAGAAGTACAGGTTTATTGAAGTGGAAGAAAAGTGATTTAACTGGAGAACACGCCCTTGAAATTCTTGTGTTATTAATAATTTACTCAGCTTTGACTCTTAGTCACAATATAGTTTTAACTGTGGTTTCCTCTTGCCGATTACTGTCTCACTGAGCAGGCACTGTGTCCTCCTGGCACATTGTTACCATAGGAATTATATTAGCTGATTTTGCTCCCCCTGGAAATAGCTAAACTTGTTTATATAAGTACAGATAAATATAAAAATGTTACTGCTTGTTATGAATATCAGAATATTATAGAATTAAATACAAGATTTTAAGATTTTAAGACTTACAGAAATATTTAATGTCAAAAGTTCCCTATGATCTCACTCTCTTACAGGTAACCCTTAATGATATATTTCCTGTGTGTATTAATCTGGTATAGTTGTTTGTTGTTATTTCACAAAGATAGAATGATAATATATATACTATTCTGAAATTTACCTCATTTAGATGTATTCTTTACACCTTTATATCACTTTACATATCACATATCCATTCATTGTGTGTGGAAGTGGTTGTGGTTTGTTATCGGTGAAATCTCCTGTATCTTCAGCTCTCTTCAGAACATTCCTTCTACTCTTGACTCTTAAACAAAACGTGGCTATCTCCTGAGAACATCGCTTTGCCTGAGAACAGCTTTGAAGTGGCAGCTGGTTTCTTCCTCAGACACCATGTGCCATTGTGTCTGGGGGTGGGGTGCATGTCTTTCTTGCTCATATTTGTGGCTTCCAGAGCACCTTTCCCCCCTCCTTCCTGAAAAACCTCAGCTCGTCTGAAGCAGCGTATGATCTGCTGCTCTTCCTTATTGCGGCATCTACTAATTTGCTGGTCACTCCCCGCTTTAAAAAACACTTTCAGCACCTCGTTTACTGATTTTCTCTGTGCCAGCAGTCTTGTATCATTCATAAGGACTTTGACATGCCTACAGACAGTTCTCCCAAAACCCTGCCCTCCCTGTTCGTTCATGTCCTCACTTTATTTATTTATTTATTTATTTATTGAGTTAATGATAGGTTGCAATCTTGTGAAATTTCAGTTGTACATTATTGTTTGTCAGTCGTGTTGTAGGTGCACCACTTCTCCCTTTGTGCCCACCCCCACCCCTACCCCCCCCTTTCCCCTGGTAGTCACTAATCTGTTCTCTTGTCTACATTTTTAAATTCCTCATATGAGTGGAGTCATACAGAGATTGTCCTTCTCTTACTGGCTTATTTCACTTAAAATAATTCCCTCAAGGTCCATCCATGTTGTTGCAAATGGGACGATTTTGTTCTGTTTTACGGCTGAGTAGTATTCCATTGTATATATATACCACATCTTCTTTATCCAATCATCTGTTGATGGGCACTGAGGTTGCTTCCATGTCTTGGCTATTGTAAATAATGCTGCAATAAACGTTGGGGTGCATGGGACTTTTGGAATTGCTGACTTCAGGCTCTTTGGGTAGATACCCAGTAGTGGCATAGCTGGGTCATATGGTAGTTTTATTTTTAATTTTTTGAGGAATCTCTATACTGTTTTCCATAGTGGCTGCACCAGTTTGCATTCCCACCATCAGCGTATGAGGGTTCCTTTTTCTCCACAACCTCGCCAACATTTGTTACCATTAGTTTGAGATATTTTTGTCATTCTAATGGGTGTAAGGTGATGTCTTAGTGTAGTTTTCATTTGCATTTCCCTGATGATCAGCGATGATGAACATCTTTTCATGTGCCTATTGGCCATCCGTATATCTTCTTTGGAGAAATGTCTGTTCATGTCTCCAGCCCATTTTTTGATTGGGTTGTTTGATTTTTTGTTGTTGAGTTGTGTGAGTTCTTTATATATTATGGATATTAAGCCTTTGTCAGATGTATGACTTGCAAATATTTTTTCCCAGTTAGTGGGTTGTTTTTTTGTTTCAATCCCATTTTCATTTGCCTTGAGGAAGCTCTTTAGTCTGATGAAGTCCCATTTGTTTAATCTTTCTATTGTTTCCCTTCTCTGAGAAGACGGTGTCCGAAAAGATACTTTTAATACTAATGTCAAAGAGTGTACTGCCTACGTTTTGTTCTAGAAGCCTTATGGTTTCAGGTCTCTCCTTTAGGTCTTTGATCCATTTTGAGTTTATTTTGGTCAATGGTGAGAAAGAATGGTCAATTTTCATTCTTTTACATATGGCTTTCCAGTTTTCCCAGCACCATTTGTTGAAAAGACTTTCTTTTCTCCATTGTATCCCCTCAGCTCCTTTGTCCAAGATAAGCTGTCCATAGATGTGTGGTTTTATTTCTGGGCTTTCAATTCTGTTCCATTGATCTGTGCACCTGTTTTTGTACCAGTACCATGCTGTTTTGATTACTGTAGCTTTGTAGTATGTTTTGAAGTCAGGGATTGTGATGCCTCCAGCTGTGTTCTTTTTTCTCAGGATTGCTTTAGCAATTCAGAGTCTTTTGTTGCCCCATATGAATTTTAGGATTCTTTGTTCTAATTCTGTAAAGAATGTCATTGGGATTCTGATTGGGATAGCATTGAATCTGTAAATTGCTTTAGGTAGAACGGACATTTTAACTATGTTTATTCTTCCAATCCCATGTACATGAAATGTCTTTCCATGTCCTTATGTTATCATCCAATTCTCTCAGAAAGGCCTTGTAATTTTCATTGTATAGGTCTTTCACTTCCTTAGTTAAATTCACCCGGAGATATTTTATTCTTTTTGTAGCGATTGTGAATGGTATTGTGTCTTGAGTTCTTTTTCTGTTAGTTCATTATTAGAGTATAGAAATGCTACTGATTTATGCAAATTAATTTTTTACCCTGCAACTTTGCTGTAGTTATTGATTACTTCTAAGAGTTTTCCAGTGGATTCTTTGGGGTTTTCTATATATAAGATCATGTCATCTGCAAACAGCAAGAGTTTCAATTCCTCCCTCCCTATTTGGATTCCTCTTATTCCTTTTTCTTGCCTGATTGCTCTGACCAGGACCTCCAGTAATATGTTAAATAAGAGTGGTGATAGAGGGCATCCTTGTCCCGTTCCTGATTTCAGGGGAATGGCGCTCAGTTTTTGCCTATTGAGTATGATGTTGGCTGTGGGTTTGTCATATATGGCCTTTATTATGTTGAGGTAGTTCCATTCTATGCCCATTTTGTTCAGAGTTTTTGTTATAAATGACTGTTGAATCTTGTCAAATGCTTTCTCTGCATCTGTTGAGATGATCATGTGGTTTTTATACCTCAGTTTGTTGATGTGGTGTATCACGTTGATTGGTTTGTGGATGTTGAACCATCCCTGTGTCCCTGGTATGAATCCCACTTGATCATGATGTATGATCCTTTTGATGAATTGCTGAATTCTGGTTGCCAGAATTTTCTTTAGAATTTTTGCATCGATGTTCATCAGCGATATTGGCCTGTAGTTCTCTTTTTTCGTGGTGTCCTTGTCAGGCTTTGATATCAGCGTGATGTTGGCCTCATTAAATGTGTTAGGAAGTGTTTCATCCTCCCTAATTTTTTGGAATACCTTGAAAAGGATAGATATTAAATCCTCTCTGAAAGTTTGGTAGAATTCCCCAGGAAAGCCATCTAGTCCTGGGGTTTTATTCTTTGGGATGTTTTTGATTGCTGTTTCAATCTCTTTCCTTGTGATTGGTCTGTTCAAATTGTTTGCTTCTTCTTGAGTGAGCTTTGGGAGATTGTAGGAGTCCAAGAATTTATCCATTTCCTCTAGGTTATTCATTTTGTTGGCATATAATTTTTCGTAGTAGTCTCTTATAATCCGTTGTATTTCTGCGGAGTCTGTTGTTATTTCTCCTCTTTCGTTTCTGTATTTGTTTATTTGAACTTTCTCCCTTTTTTTCTTTGTAAGTCTGGCTAGGGGTTTGTGAATTTTATTTATTTTCTCAAAGAACCAGCTCTTTGTTTCATTGATCCTTTCTACTGCCTTTTTTGTTTCAATAGCATTTATTTCTGCTCTGATTTTTATTATTTCTCTCCCTCTGCTGACTTTGGGCTTTGTTTGTTCTTCTTTCTCTGATTCGGTTAGGTGTAGTTTAAGATTGCTTATTTTTGGGATTTTTCTTGTTTGTTAAGATGTGTCTGTGTTGTGATGGATTTTCCTCTTAATACAGCTTTTGCTGTATCCCATATGAGTTCGTATGGCATGTTATCCTTTTCATTTGTCTCCAGGTATATTTTTATTCTTTAATTTCTTCAATGATCCATTGTTTGTTCAGTAGCATATTGTTTAGTCTCCACATCTTGTGCCTTTCTCAGCTTTTTTCTTGTAATTAATTTCTAGCCTTATAGCATTATGATCAGAGAAGATGCTTGTTATTATTTCAATTTTTTTAAATTTGTAGAGGCTTGGCTTTTTTCCCAGCATAGGTCTATCCTTGAGAATGTTCCATGCGCACTTGAGGAGAATGTGTATTCTGCTGTTTTTGGATGAAGTGTTCTATATATGTCTATTACGTCCCATTGCTTTAGTTTTTTGTTTAGCTCTACTATTTCCTTGTTGATTTTCTGTCTGGATGATCTGTCCATTCATTTGAGTGGGGTGTTGAGGTCCCCTACTATTATTGTGTTATTTTTAACATCTTCCTTTAGGTCTGTTAATAGTTGCTTTATGATCTTTGGTGCTCCTGTGTTGGGTGCATAGATATTTATAAGCATTATTTCTTGTTGATGAAGTGTCCCTTTGATCATTATATATTGTCCCTCTGTGTCTCTCTGTACCTGCCTTATTTTGAAATTCGTTTTGTCTCATATAAGAATTGCAACACCTGCTTTCTTTTGCTTGCTATTAGCTTGAAGTATTGTCCTCCACCCCTTCAGTCTGAGCCTGTGTTTGTCCTTGGGGCTGAGGTGTGTTTCCTGGAGGCAACAAATTGTTGGATCTTGTTCTTTAATCCATTTTGCCACTCTGTGTCTTTTTATTGGAGAGTTCAA